TAAAAAAAAAGGGGGAAAAAAACTTTAAAAGGATGTTTAAAGGCCCTTTAAACCTGGTTTTTTTTTTTTTTTTTTTTTTTTTTTTTTAAGATCTATTAGATGACACAGAGACACTTTGGAAACAATGCATCCCTTTCCTTCCTGTTCACAACGATGCACTAAAACAATTGTGAAGAAAGTTCCAAGCTTATTCAGATCACTTGCTCAATTAGCTTTAACATCTGAGAAGAACATTGCTTAGAATATAAAAAAAAAAAATCCAAGCAGTCACAGAGAGAGCAGAAGATTCACAAAGATCAGAACAATTAAGAGAGTCAATAAAATGGCAAATTCTCTTTTCACTCTTGCAGATTAAAAAAAAAAAAAAACACAGACCTCCCACTGCATTGAAGCTACATGTTCTTTCTTCTTCTTGATTAATGGATAAAGAATAACAGTGACAGATGACCTACAGAATCATTAAAACCCACAGAAGAAATCGGATGCAGATAAAAGGTGTGACGGAGACCAGATTTAGACCAAGAATCAAGGAGACAATCCCTCTGGCTCTCTTGTATGTAATTACTATTGCTGTGTAATTATGTTGCCAGCCATGGGAAGACCTTATTCTGTTGTGAAAAGCCCCAAGACAATGTATTTTCAACAGTCTTCTGACAGAAGAAGAGGGGAAGCTTTCTAATTAAAAGAATGCCCTCTCTGACGAGGGAAGCAAAGCCGTCTGACTGGAAATCCAGTACTCAGTTTAGCATTAAGCCCACCTGGTGTTCAGCACGGCCACTGAAGAGGCAAGTGTGGCGTCGTCTCGAGTTCTTATCAATGAAGCGTCGTGAAGAAAAGCGGGTTTGATCGGTTGCCGTTTTATCCTCCCCACTCCCCCTCAATCAATCCGTCTTAATGACTTGTTCGAGGTTTAAGACGGACACTGTCCTGAAAGTCCATCAGCGCTGCTTTAATTAATTCGGTTAAAAACTCACCCCGGCATCTCAAGTTTGTATTTCGTAAAGTGAGCTGTTGTCAGGTCGTGAGGAAGATTTGGGGTAGATCAAAGAGCGGGTTCATCCGTGCAGACTGCGCCGCTCCAGGGGAGCGAAAGGACACATGAACATGCTTTGATTTTCTTTCTGTGCAGCGTCTCTTGCCTTAATACAAGCGTTATTCCTATTCTTGGATGTTGACTACAGTAATGCCACAGTTACGGTGTGTTGATGAACAGCTCCATGCTCCCGTCCCCCAAAGGGGCCAGCTTAACCCGGCTCGGGTAGCAATGAATACTAATGTCTCCTCAATTAGCACCCCTCTGAAAGTGAGATATTATTTTGAGGCTGGCAGACTGCGCCGGTAGACCAGTTGTAAACCTCCCATGGCTAATCCACTCCTTCTTTTTTTAATGTGTTAGTTTTTCTGTGCAAGAGAAGGCAAAGAAAAAGGCGCCGCGCCTTCCGTCCGTCCGCTCTGGAAACGAATGAATCCGTGTTTTAACTGCGTCTGCTTCTCCGATGAGGCGATACATCATCGAGGGCTAAGAATCGACTTATGTGTCACTCTGCGATAGAGAAATTACACTGAGATGACAAAAAGCTTCGGCAACTTCAATTACCCATTTAGCGCCGCCAGCCATCCTTGAGTCTTTAAAAGGAGATGAGACGAGGGTTTCAGGCTGCTGCAATGAAGGGAGGTGTTAAACAAATGATCGGGAAGGGATATTTACCTCCGCTCAGGCTCTCGTGTGAAAGCTTTCCACATACTTGTGCTCCCTGTTCTCTTTTTGTTTCTACCTGCTTGACTCGCGTAAATGCACGTTTGTTTGCATGTCTGGGTGTCGTCGATATAAACGTAAGTTTACACGGGATTGTGCTTCTGGATACTCGTCTTTGCTAATGACCCGGAAGACTTTGTACGCTGGAAAATGCTTTAAAGTCGGCGCAGTACCTACACTTTCCGAATATAAAAACCGTCCTCGCGTTCAACTAAAGAGCTTACATGCACGCATCATTAGTGTAATGAATTTTATGGTAGTTCTGGGCTTTTAGTGATTTTTTTTTATTTATTTTTTTTTAAATATTTTTTTTTGGTGGGGAGAGTTTAGGGATGTTAGGGCTACACAGCGTGCTTTTTAAAAGCAAGAGTTGAGTCAACGGGATTATGGATTCATTCACTCCCAAAAGAGTGCAATTTGCAAATATGAGCTCAAATATTTATTTAATTTATGCACTCCACTAATTTAATGTGCTGCAGCCATTACACCAGGCCCATTAACAAGGACCTGGCCATGATGGCTATTTGATCACTCTTCTTATCAGGAATGGCAGAGTTGAGTTAAATATGCTGAGGATCCTGCTTTCAAGCACAGTACAGCGATGTGGAGTTGTGAAGCATTTGGAAGGAGTTTCCTGTCTTCTTTGTCCAATAAACCCCCTGGTATGATAAAAGAGGCCACCATTGCGCTTCTTGGATGGCCCCGATGTTGGCCTTATCAAAAATGGATGGACTGGACTAGGAAGCTTCATTTTTAAACTTGATGATTTTTTTTTCAGAGCAAAATAACCGCAGTCTGATATCATACCAGGACCTTGTCAATGACAACATATTTGTGCCTGTGAACGAAACCAAAATCAAATTACTTAATTTCCCCTCTTGCTGGTCAAAATACTAGCTAGGTCTGAAAAATCAAATGGTGTGAAAATGACTTACTAACATTGACTGTTTCCTCCTGTTCTGTATTCAGTACCAAAAGGGAAGCCTACTAATTTGAGTAAATCGCGCAATCTTTCCGCATTAAGTATTTATGAAAAACGTCTGGTTTCAGTGGACGGCAGTTGGTCCTGCTGGTCTTCGTGGTCCAAGTGCTCTGTGACTTGCGGAGGAGGACACTACATGAGGACGAGGACCTGCAGCAACCCTCCGCCAGCCTACGGAGGAGACATCTGCCTGGGTCTGCACACCGAGGAAGCGCTGTGCAACACGCAGACTTGTCCAGGTACACACAAACATTTTCCACCTCTTAAGTGGAAAAGACTCGAGAGAGCTCCGATGCAGGCGGCTCTCCTTTCCCGGGTTTGTTGTTTTTCTTTCTTCTTTTTTTTTTTCTCAGCCTCTCGAAGGGCGTCCCTGTGCACCACTAATGCACAGGGAGTCATTCGGCGCGGCGCAGACTCGCACTCAGCAGGCTGTGTGAGACAACGCTGCCATTGCTGTGTTTTCCAGAGAGCTGGTCCAGCTGGTCCGAGTGGTCCCACTGTGACTCCAGCGGCGCCCAGCTGCGAGTGCGTCACTGCGACGTCCTTTTCCCCACTGGAAACCAGTGCTCAGGAAACAGCAGCGAGACCAGACCCTGCTCCCCTGACTCCAACTTTATACCAGGTGATGGCACGCTTTGTGATGTCACTTCCGCATGATTTAACACACATCCTGGGGAGCGCGAGGAGCGTACGCCACCACCAGCGCAGTGGTAATTCAGTTCGTTTTCAAGAAACCTGTGATAATTGAGTGCATTATTGATTTCTCGAAGCGTGTTAGAGGTCAGGCTGGGAGATAATTCAGCCTTTTGGGTTGAATTAGAAACATTCTGAAGAACAACTCCCGAGTCCAGGATGTGATTACATTGTGGGTGAGCTCTGCTGCTTAAGTACCGCAGTGAAAGCTCTGTTTTTTTTTATTTTATCTAAAACCGAAGAAATTATTCTTTGATTACGTTGCTACACGTAAAAGAAGAAGTTTTACCGTTTCCATGACAGACTTGCCTTTGTTGCTTAGTGAGTGGGAGCCTTTCTAGTTTTGTCGTTGTCATAAATTTAGAGTCACTCTAAAGTCGGTGTAATAAGCAGGGATAGGTGGAGAAAGGAGTGCAGGAAGAAAACAGGTACTTACTGATAAACTGACCCCGGAGGAAGATTTATACAGTAAAGGAAGCAAAACCTTGGAAGATTGGATTCAGTTTCTTTCTTTGCAGAAGGCAAATGTGTTCCAGCTCTCTTCGTAACTCACGTCATACCAGAGAGACTTTGTTAGGTTAGGACGCTTTTATTGGTGGACATCGTCACACGATATGAATGATTTTGGTATCGAGCAACCATCCCACTGCAGTGAGTGAAAAGTGGTCGGGATAAGACAAGACTGAGAGGGGGAATGAGAATAATAAGAGAGAGAGAAAGAGAGAGAGAGAGAGAATTGAAAGAGGGATGATAAGAATGAAAATGAGACCTAAAGCGGGATGAAAAGGATGCGTTAAATGAAATTGAGTTATATATGAGGCTGATGAGTGGGATGGAAAGAAGAGGTTGTAAAGAGGGATGAGGAAGTTGAAAGGCATAAAAATAGAATGTCAAGTGGGATGAGAGGAGAAAAGAGGGAATGAAGATGGATGAGAAAATTTGGGAAATGAGATAAGGAAGACAGGGAGGCCTCATTGGCCTTGTTCCCAAGCATAGTAACACATTGATTACTTTTAGGTGTTATAATGTTTACTTTGAGCCCCGTTTTGTTAGTTATATGTAGTGGAAAATGTTACATTTAATTATTCGCTCCATTAAACGAGCGAGTGTGTTACCGGGCAACTATCAAAGGATTCAGGCTTTAGATATAAACCTCTTTTCTGCACCAGAAATCTTGATATTTTAGAACAAGTAATTATTTTAATGGCATTATTTCCACAGATGAGCAGTTGACCTCTTTGATCAAGCAATAGTCGGCGCACAACGCGAGCAGTGCAAAGCATCAAAAGTCTTTAAGTAATTGTCATTCACTGAGGAACAGGAGAGCATATTTTTCCTTCAGCCCAATTTTCTTATACCCAAACAGCTGCTTTCTGTGTTAACTCATTTTTAATCTGTTTCATCTCAGTTCCAGCTTTTTGTCCAGGTTCAGTAAAATTTGATTAGAAAAAAATAATTCTTTATTGATGGTCACAACTGAGTTTGATGAAAAGAAAGAAAAAAAAAATCTTTCGCTTTCTTTTAATGCTGAATGTTTTAATTGGTGTAGATATTTTCCCACTTCAGAGGCAGCTTTTGTCAAGTTGTTCACAGTCGGGCCTCTTTATTACTGCAAACGTACTTTTGTTAGGCAAAATCTGTGGGATCCCCCCCTCCCCCCCGCTGCTGCCGGCCCTATCACGGTCGACAATGCAGAAACGGATTCCAACTGGTAGCTGAGAGCAAAAACCTGCTGTTCGTGAAACCGTCTCATTTTTCCTTTCATCGGGACTTCAAGGCTTTTAATTTTCACGAGAAAAAACTCGAGTGATTCGCAGATACCTTTTTCTGCTTTCCTAATGTCTTGGTGTGGCTTGGTTACAGGTGGCTGGAGCCGCACACCGGCAATGAATGTCAATCGTCCGCAGAGAAACGTAAAACCGAGCAACTTTTCTTCCGTTTGATAAATCTATATCGGCTGCTTATGACGAAGAGCGGGACAAGTTAAGGGTCATAATCAAATTTAATCATGACGATAAGCTCCATTATATACAGCACACACCTTCCTGTCTTTCTCACACTGTTAGTATTGACATTGGCTCATGCAGGCATCTCCTTATTGACAGTCGGTAATGCTAGACACAGAAAAGAATTGATCTCTGCATCTCTTCTAAACCAGGATCATCAAAGCTCCTGCTTTCAAGACGGCAGGCTTGAGCTTCACATAACGCAACTGAGACACCAAATTATTGAAAAGCGATTTTTTTTTTTTGCTTAAGTATTTTTGCTGTAATTCGAATAACACAAACTTTAGACGAGGAAAGTAATTATGCGACAGAGCAAACATTTAACTGAACCCCATGTTTGTAACCTTTCTGTATTAATTAAATAGGATATAATGCTCATTAGGAAATTCTACAGAATTACCCATCTACCTTTTTATAACCCCCATTCATCCCATTTTATGGGAAAGGTAGTCCATTAGGGTTCATTACCAATGTCCTGTACTTCATTTCCTTCTAATGGGAACTGATACTTTCATAAACCACTCGAGGTGCCACAGCCTTGATTAGCTTTCGAAGTTTGAACGATTTTCAACACATTTCCGTGCTTACCTTCAGGAGAGCAAGCCGTCGGTGACAAAAAGCAAGCATGTGCGGCGGTGTTGTTCATGCTAACGTTGCTGCTTTGTTGCTTTCCGTCTTCTCCTTCAGAAGTCTCCATCGCACGCTCCAGTCAGGAGGAGAGGCGCTGTGGAGGTAATTCCCATCTGTATGTGCGAGTGTGAAAGACAGAAAGAAGGAGGAAGGGTATTGCACCTGGCATCTCACATATTCTTGGTAAAAAAAAAAAAAGAAAGAAAGTCTTTTCATCTTGCAGAGCTTTTGTTCAAGTTTTCAAGAAATTTGCTTTGTAAAGCCGTCGGAGGCTTGCTTTATGACCTTTTTTGCCCTTTGGTGTACATTCTCCCATTGCCTTGTTTTTATGGGGGGGTTTTAGGAATGCTACAGTTAGCGTATCATCAATATGCAGTGTATATCTGTTTTACTTAGCTTGCAGGATGCACTGCACAGCTGCTGCATGTAGAGTGGATTTTATTGGACTGGTTAAGCCCTTGCCAACATCCAAAATTGGCCAGTTTTGAATTTGTACTTTTCCTCTCCACACGGTTTTGAATGCAGCGCTTAAAGACAGGAACCAAAGTCTCGCACTGTCTCAGATGTTAAATATAATGTCAAGAAGAGTCAGAGACTTGACCCAGAGCTAGTGTATAAAGAGTTGAGCTTAACTCGGTTTGTGTCGACAGGTTCACTGTCATGAATACGACTTCAAAAAGAGGGAAAGGAAGTTGTCAATGTTAATAGCCCCCTTTTTAAGCAGGTTTTATTGCAGAAATGCCACTTATTACATCAATAACTATCTGAGCGGATGAATTATTTCACAACAACCCCTTTCACAGTCGGGCCTGCTCATATGCCTCCCCGTTCCTCCCCCTTTCAGATTTCAACCTTTTCCACATGATCGCAGTGGGTCTCAGCAGCTCCATTCTCGGCTGCCTGGTCACGCTGCTCGTCTACTCCTACTGCCAGCGCTACCAGCAGCAGTCCCACGACGCCACGGTCATCCACCCCATCTCCGCCGCCCCGCTCAACACCAGCATCACCAACCACATCAACAAACTGGACAAATACGACACCGTGGAAGCCATCAAGGTCTGTAGACGGACACGCTCCCGGTTCACCCCGGGTCACAATATGACAGATGTTCGCATATGCAGAGGGAAAGATCGGTTTGATCTAATCAGTGGATGTTAAACACCCCCTTTGAGTCAGTGAGCAGTAGCTCTGCTGCCAGTGTCAGCTGTGATTAAATACTCTCCTTACTGACTGTCACTGTCTCACCCCCTCCTGTCACTTGCTGACACTCTCTGCTAACGTAACAGGTAGGCGGCGGTGCGTTCATCTTCTCCACGTCTGTCTCACTGTGTGAATCTGTTCCGTTTCTGGGGCGCTTCACTGCTTTCTCTTAAAATCCTAGAACGAAATTAGATGTGTGATATTAAATGTAATCGGCAAAGGGGCCCTGTGGCTAGATCAGCTTTTTGGGTTGCGATTGCATCCTGAAGTGCAGATAGTCAGATGTATCAGGGCCAGTTAGAGTGGTCCAGCTCGTCTCCTGGCACAAATAGCCTCTTATCCACTGACACATTCAGGCTGTTTGGCCAGAAATGGGCTGGTGATTAGCGCTTCTCCACAGGCACTCCATGCTCAGGCTAGGGCTCTATCTGAGATACAGGAGTGAAGTGTCTCGGTTTTTACCCACAAAAAAACCCCCACAAACTTTTGCCAATTAAACAAATCCTTTCTTAACCAACTAAAACAGAAAAAGAACACATAATGTTTTTTTCTAAATCACAAAGACGTAATAAGTTACATTTTAAAATAACCTAATGAGGTGTGCTTTACGTTAGACCACACTGTCTTCCCTAAAGTGAACGGTTTAGGGTGCAAGAGTAGCGGGTTTAAGAGACACTGAGGTGCCAAGTATTTTAAGACAAAAAGTCATTTTTTTAAATCCTAAAAAGAACTGGGAGTCAGTGGAAAGAGGCTAGTTAAAAGTCAAGCAGCCACGTTTTGGTTTGACTGCAAACATTTAATGGACGTGTGGTTAACACCACCAAATAGCACATCACAGAAGCCTGGTCAATTTGGGATACGAGCAAGAAGCACGCATTTAAAGAAAATTGAAAGTAGACAGAAAATTTTGCAGGTCTTTGCTTTTGTCCAAACATGGTGATTTCCCCACACCTTCAAAAATGAGGGAAAATTCCCCTGGCTAAACAGGCAGGCAGTTTTATTCAGGTTTTTACTATAGTTGACTTTATTCAATTTTCGTTTTTTCAAATAAACATGCCAGGTTTGCGACCTTAAACTCACAGAGGAAGTCGTGAGCATCGGCGACGTCAACTAAGTAAATACTTTGATCTCTGTTTGCAAACGCGCTTCCCGTATATGAGAATGTTTTGTAGCCTTGTTAAAACCTGCGCGGCTCCTTTGGCTCGGAGCAAACTTCTGCGAATGTAATTTCTTCAAGGGTTTGGAGACGGAGTTCATCTGTCATGCAATTAGAGTCAGGAGTATCAAGCATAATTCAGTTAGTGCAGTTGCAGATAGCGGCAGATATGAGTGTAGACAGTCGGTGTGAAGATGCAAAGGGAGCTGCATGACAAGTGAGTAATGAGTCATTTTCCAGCAGCACATTTTGCCTCCAACGCTCAATCAGAGAGCCCAAACAACCTTATGTTGCGGTGAAGTTTCAACTAATAAGTATGAAACACCATTATATGCGTCCTTTTAGCTATTACGCAAGTAAATGATGAACAGAAGATGTAGTTTTAGTTTGTTTTTTTTTACTCAAGTTGCGTTACTCGCCGTTTATCTGCACAAAAAGTTAGACGCCCTTCATTGAGGTTTGCTGGAGGATCTAACTGCATTTTACAGCACTTTGAAAGAGAATTTGGCCGCATACAGATTTCTTCTGGTTTTGTTAACACTGGACAAATCTAGGCTGATTAAAGACAGCATGCAGTTGTTAAGTGACGATTTCATTTATTAAGGGAAGACCAATCTGGCTCACTGTGAAAAAGCAATTTCCCCCGTAAACCTAATGACATTAATGTTTTGCCACCCTTAGTGGTGACGATTCCTGTCACTTGTTTGTGATAACTGGCACCGAGTCTTTGCAAAAGTCTTGGGCATCATCAAGATTTAGCTTGGTGAGTTTGCTTTTGTGGCCTTTTTGCTATATGGTAGTTATCGTCACCATTGGATACCCATATTGAATTATGAACTTCAATCTTTACTGTCCTCCTGGATGACTTGTCTCTGAGCTCTCAGTGCAAGAAATTTACTTTTGAACCCTTTTCACACCAACAGACAACTTTGTTTCTCGTCAGATCTTGAATTTCTTAATGTTGTTGTGTAATGTGTTGCTCGTATGAATCTTTAATCTGCTTTATGATGTCAGAGAGGTTCTGCTTAAGTTTAGGTTAGACTTTGTGATTCTTCAGGCCCCATTTGTGGCAAGTAAGATCAGCTTTGAAAAAAAAAAAAAACAAGCTCAATCACAGTTAATCCATATTTTATCAAGGTTTCGATGAGCTAAAACATTTATGTGTTCCAGAACAACAAAAACAGAAGAAATTTCTAACAAGGATACTTTGTCACAGCATTGTGTGTATAGTTAATTTTTCTAAGGCTGCTATTAAATAAAATATGGTTTTTTTTTTTTTTTTTTTTTTTTTTTTTTTTTTTTTGAGGATGACTCTTGCCCGTTCCTTTCCTTCCTGCAGCCAGACGTGTCGGTACTCTTGCCTCTGGACGACCCTGCCATGCACCAGCCTCTCTCTGCTAACATGGGGGTGTCTATGCGTGGACTGGAGATTTTCTACTAACCAACCTCAACAACATCCCGCTTCTTGACTCCCCACTCCAACCAAAACCCCGACAACTCTTTGACCCCCTCCCCTCATCCAGTACTACTTCCTGTTCCCAAACGAGTCCTGCCCTTGCACTTCCTGTGGCACTTCCTGTGCGTGGCAGGTTGGGAGTACAGCACTCTAGTTTCTCTTTTTCTGCTCAGACCCCCTTTCATCCTTCCATCATGGCTGCCTCCCTTCTCTCTCCCAGCTTGCGAGAAGGCAGTGTATCCCTCCCCTTTTTTGTGCTTACATTTGCATGTCTGTCGTTTGTTTGTCCTTCATGTTATGCTGTATTTTTTAATTGATCATTTGATTGGATGGGTTGAAAAGGAAATATAGTTGTAATGTTGGCTTATTACCTTCCTCTGTTACCTCTCTGTCACTAACGGCACATTACCATTTAGGCAAATTGTGTCTGCCGTACCAAAAACTCCAACTTAATCATTCTTAAGCCCATTATAATATGCTGAAAGGAAGAGGACACAGTAGATGACGATGCAAACAAGCATTGCTGCACAGCTGTTTAAAGACAACCAAGTGGACACCTGCAGAGATACATAACCATCTTTGGTGCTGCAGGAGAGCTGATTGCTTTCCCTTTGTCTGCAAATCACATAACCGGAACGCAGCAAAATATGAGGTTTTTTTTTTTTTTTTTTGCTCAGCTCACTTGTCGGAAACATCCATCAGCTGTAAATGCAGCATCATCAAGTGTTCAATTACGCCGCCCCAGGGGGACTCCCATCACACTTCCCACTACAACACGCTGCATATGAACACGTCTATTTGCCAAATTGTTGTACTGAGCAGCACATCAGAGGCTCGTTCCATGTTTACTGTGTCATGCGGGGATAGACAAGACGCCCCCCACCCGTCCCAATAGTTCTTCCTGATTGTTTAACAGAAATGCGACTCGCCTTTGATCGATTTTTATGGCTCTGATTGTCCTGGAGGACCGACAATCCGAGGGCCATAAAAACCGCTGATGCTGGGTATTAGAGATGACAGAGGTGGACATTCGGATGTGCATCAAAATAATTTAGCCCTGTGGTGACTTCTCATTTTTCCGGCCTGTTTGCAAATGCTCTGACCTTGCTCTGTGAAATGTATGTTCCATTCACCGAGCAGTCTCCCATTGATTTATGTTGCTCCTTTGGATTTACTTTTACCTTGCCATCTGGGCTGAATAATCACTTGATCCATAACTTGTGGGAAAAAAAAATGCCCATACTGACTCCTGTTCATTTCTCCTCTCCATCTATTTTTTTTTTTTTGTTCTTTTCTTTATTTGCAGGGCTTCAACAAAAACAATCTGATTCTGGAGGAAAGGAATAAGTACTTCAACCCACAGCTTGCCGGGAAGACTTATACCAATGCATACTTCTCCGACCTCAACACCTATGATGACTATTAACCCCAGACTTCTATAGCGGAGATCATTACCCCTGTTGTCCATTTTGACCCCTTCCTTGTGCTTTGTATTGAGATTTGTAACACCTTATGTGGGATCCTCCCACGGTGACACTCGGTGGCAGCTGGTATGTAACGAAAACACAAACATTCTGGTGTTGCCAAAAGAGGGAAATGCCCACTTTCTCTCAGGTGCCTTGGGGTACACTTGGAAAAACCTGGACTCGCCAAGAGAAATGGACAATTGGATCTCCAGTGCTGCGGGATATTTTGGGGAGTAACATCTAATCTGATTTTTTTTTTTTTTTTTTTTCCCCTGATGCCCCTAAGACAGACCTGTATTTGTAACGATGGGAAATGACCACAAATTGCTTTGCATGACTTCATCTGATGTGTTTGCTCTGCTGTTCCGTTGCAATTTGCATGATGGATCACATTCCAGGGTTCCAGAGTTTGATGCTGTTATTGGTTATGGGGTTCGCGTCAGACGTCCTAAAACAAATAGTCTGTAGGAATGACCGGTGGTTTTTACCACTCGCTACAATGGTAATGCCCAACCTGACGGTTGGAACAATGTCCAACTCCAGTCGTAGATTCAGGATGTAGATATTTGATGTCTGTGGTCAACATTGGTTATGTTATTGTTTTTTGTTTGTTTTTTGTTGCTTTATTTCTTTTCAGTAGCTACAAAAAATACAAGTTATAAATGTAAAAAAATAATAATTTTTTTTTCCCCTTTTTTATGTTTTTGTACAGGAAATTACGTTTGATGCCTATGTCTAGATTTTCTATGCATTTACTCATTGTTTCAAGTGTGTAGAGTACAAAAGAAAAGCAACATTGTGTCCACATTTTGGCAATTGTGTGGGAGTACTCATAGCAGGTTGCCTCAATTTACCATTGCCGTAGTACTTTTTATAAATATTTTGTAAAAGAATAAGGAAAAAAAATATTGTTTTTGAATTTTGATAGTGTTCACTATTTTGTTGACTTCTGAGTCATAAATATGTGTTTGTGAAAGCAGAATGTTATTGGCATTAACTATACAGACAGAGCATACATAGCGAGTACTGTTTCTCTGACTCTCGGCTTCAGTGCTTACCCATGTACCGCAACTTGTTTATTTTTGTTTGTTTTCTTCTCTCTTTTTTTAATCTATTTGATTTGTTTTGGTTCATTTGCAACTAACTCTTTCTTACATGTTTGCTTGTGTTTTTGTGCATAAATTAAAATAGCTTCCTACAAAACTTGTCTACAGTGACTGACAGATTCAACGTATCTGTACTCCTCTTTTTTTGTAAAGTTTTGCTGGGAAATGATCTAATAAATGTTTATTTTCATTTAGGTGAAGATACCGTGTTTGAAGATAGTGACGTAAAACTTGTACTATCAACTTTGGGTTCTCAAAGTTCCCTGCAAAAATATTTCATGCCTTTTAAACTTTCGTCATAAGTAAAAGCCACAAAGTGTGGCCTTTAATGCGACAGACTGATGCAAACTCAACCCTAACTCCAATAGCACAGGCTCAGTTTTCTCAGAGTGTTGTGAACATATTTTTCTCACATTTTGCCACAGATTTTCAAATCCATTTAGGCCATTCTTTTCCATAAATGCCATGTTTGTCAGCGCATTCTTCCACCAGAACTACCAGGAGTTTCTTGGCTGTTTTTTTTTTTTCTCATTGATTATCTTCTTGCCCATTCTGTCGGTCTAAGTGGACAATGACATCTTCATAGGTTTGCCATGTTAGTTTCACTTTCAGATGATGGAAAAATAAACCAATCCTGCAAATACACAAATTCACACTTTTATCCCTGACCTCTCTGGGGTATTCCTAGATGTGAACAGTGCTGTGGTTCACCAGCGTTCTGTAGCAAACCACTGAACAGCTCTATTTATTTCTGAGATCAAGTTACACGCAGGTGGACTTTATTTACTAAGTAATTGACTTCTGAAGGCAATTAGTTGCCCTGGATTTGACTTGTGGTCAAATCGGAGTAATAGTATTCTAAATACAAGTTTTATTTTCAAACAGATGAAGGATGATCGTCAAATGCTTCTGCACGTTGTGAACGGTTTTAACGTTCAAAACCATAACATGATCAAACCCGCCGCTTCATAAATCATCCAAATTCGGAGTAGTAAGACCCCTGTCCACCTTCCTTTAAAGAGGATTCCAAGAGACGCCACAGTGACAAATGGACACAACCGCTGTAGAAGGATACCTGAAGGATACAAATAGTGCAAGGCGGCATGGTGATAGTGTTAGGGGTGCTGTCTGAAGTCCAAACACTAATCTGTATGGCAGGGTGTAATACCCCACACTGTGCTGTTCTCCCATCAACCTTCAACCCGACATCCCATCTGTGTGCAGAGGGTAATGGAGGGCTGTTATTAATCACCCCGCTGTTTGGTTCCTCTGACTTCAAAGAATTAATCTCTTTGCCTTAACTTCACCCCGACTAAGGGAGTGTTGCACCAAAAAACACACAGGATGTTGACTGTGGTAAAGACAGGACAGTAGATCAAGCTGTGTGTGTGTGTGTTTACTGGGCAATTATTGTGTTAAAGGTTATGCATGTGGTTCTGAATATGAGCTCTTCCATTGCATTTGCACGTTGTGTTTCCACATTAAGACGCATCAAAGTTAAGACAGGATGCTCGGTCGCAGATATTCAGTTTGTTTTGCTGACGCAATCCCAAATCCCTTACCTGAGTAGAGCTGAAATGTCCCGTCACATTTTCATCTCTTGATGAATTTGGCAGTGGCATGAGGTACGCAGCTCTCAGTCAGTCAGAAACGGCTCATTCCACCTTTACTGCAAGGTCAAGGGTGATGACTGACTTTTCTAAAGTGGCATTAGGGGACCGCTAAAGTTCACAGACAGAGGTCACCCGAGCAGAGCGTGCATCTGTCAGATCAACTGTACGCGCGAGTGCTTGCGTGGACCTCAACAAGTGTCACGAGATGGACCTCGTTTTGTACTGTAAGCACACGGCAGACTTGAAAATGGACATGTTGACCTTTGGCTCAGAACAGACTGCTGAATTTGAGTTTTGCAATACTCAGACTCAACCTTTTCTTCTATTTTTTTCTTTTTTTACTGTTTTTACTCCGTAAAAGTTCATTTGAATAACTGCAGAACAAAGATTTCCCCTTTGCAATTTTGTTCTAGATCATTTTATGCCCAACTTATACGTAAGCAAAGTACTCGCATGTCACAAGAGATTTAGAGGAATTCAAGAAAACTCATATGTAAATAATTACCAGTTGAGAGTTGCACAGACTCGTAATCATATTTCAGAATCAGTTTCATTCAGCAAGTTTGTGCTCACAAACAAGGAGATTGATTTTGGTTCCAATTTTCTCTCAAAATATTTTATGCTTAAATATATAAAAGTATTGTTGGGAGACAAGGTTGCATTAGAGCAAATATGCACTGTATCAACCTGGGCATCATCAGCAGGACAGTCTGGGGAAATAAGCTGTCCCTGTGGTAGCTGTTTTTTTTGTTGTTGTTTTTTTTGTTTTTTTTTCTTTTTCTTTTTTTTTGCAAATAGCGCTGACCTGAAGTTGAAAGTCTAAACAGTCTGTGTCCAGGCAGGGGTCTGAAGAGTGGTGCATGTGGAGCTTTTGTGTCAAGCTGAGATGTGGATGAGTTGATGGGAGGTAAGAACAGCTGCTTTTCAAACCTGCAGTAGAAGCTGTTTGGGTCGTCTGCCAGAGGAGGATTCTGCTTACGGTGGGGGGTGTAGTGGTGTTTTTCAGACCAATCCAAACTAATGTCAGGTCATCTGCTGAACAGCCAAGCGGGGTTTTGGCTCCATTTAGCTGCCCCGATAGCCAAAGTCAGTTTGTGTTTTTTTGCCCGCGTATACGTGGCCTACCTGTACACCTAGTCGGTGTCTTCTGTAATTCCCATCGAGAACCACCGAATTACCAACCAAGATCTCGGTAAAAATTGGGGCTGATGAAAAATTGAGAAAAAGATGCCTTGAGAGGACTGGCTGGAATCAACACTCAAAGGACAAGAGAGAAAAGTACGGAGACTGCCATCTGTGGCGCCATCTTTGATATCTGATAAGATACATTTGTTAAACAGAAAATGAATACACCTTAATGAGGAGAAAAAACACTCACTCCTTTCTTTTCTGTTTTCCCAACAGGGAAACATTCATTTGACTTTCTCTGTTAAGTAATAAAACAGGTGCTGTGTCATCAGCCACACAAGTGCATCTGCTTGTGTTTTATGATTGTTTTCTACCTTTTATAAATATATAAAAGGTAGAATATATATATATATATGTAGAAGGCAGAATATATATATATATATATATATATATATATATATATGTATGTATGTATATATAAAAGACCTAAATGTGCATCCGTAGGACATGATCGTTAACAAATATTAACCTGAGCAGTCCAGAGTTCTGAACTATCACTAAACGACTGCTCAACGCTTCACACTCTAAGTTCATTAGGCTGTGTGTTTATTCACACTTACTAACACACATTGACATTAACTTATTAAAACGAGCCGAATTAACTGTAAGTCAACTGCTGGCATCTCGGCATACTCAATCCAAACCGGCACACTGAAAATCATGTGGCAGAAATTTTGAAAAGAAAAAAAAAAAAAAGTATGAAAAAAGATTGCTTAAAATAACTTCTTTTTTTTTCTTTTTTTTTTTTTGTCTATGAGGCATTTAAGAGCCTGTGTTAATTGGCAGCCTGTACAGAGAGCTCTGAGTGGCAAACAAGGTGAGTGAGTGAGATGGTTTCTGTCAGGCAGGTAACAGAGCGTGAACATCTCATTAAACACCTTTTTTCTCTCCCTGGTGGAACAGTGTGCTTTAGGCTGTTCGTTCACCACCTCCCCCAGCGGGGTGACCATTCCTGTGACTGCTGCAAACTTAACAGGCTTAACTATACACTTGGCCCTAAAATTATATACACAGATAGAAGGCAAATAGCTGTGAGAGGCACTTAGTTACCGGGGAGAAAATGTAGCTGTTGGAATACGTTTTGAAATCGGAGCTATAGGAGTGGTTTTAAAGGGGAAATCCCACTTGGGAGCGTACGCTAACGCTTTGCGTTCCTTTAAATCTGGAGGCGTGGGGAGTTTTTTTTTTTTTTTTTTTTTTTTTTTTTTTTTTTTTTTTTGCGTAGTCAAAAAGTGGTAGTGATTTCCAAAGTCGCTCGTGAATCTTTTAGTGTGGAAGAGGTCACAATTATCACCAAAATGTGCTTTATCCAGAACAGTATTGCGAAAGCCATAATGTTGCAATACAGTCCAAAAGAATCTCTCTTGAGAGCCGGGAAGTTTCACCGTTTTTACTTATGTTTTAAGGTTGAAACTCAAGTGAGACAGCAGATATGGCCCATCGAGTATTAGCACCACTCCGTAAGCGGGATTTTTTTTTCTTTCTCTCCTCTCTGTCGTTTTGGAGCAAACACTCCCTAATGCTGCTTCATTTCATTTCAAGTAAGCATTACTATGTTCTGAAAAGAAAACTAATTTTTCAAAGCAGCCCTAATTGCCGGAGTGCACAATCTGCTATGCTTAAGGAGCTGCAGTTTGGGTTTCATCGGATACTTCAAGGAAAATTGCGTTTTTGGGTGTTTTTGGGGGGAGGAAGGGGGGATTTTAATTTGTTTTTCTTTTTTTGGGGGGGGGGGCTTGATGCTACAAGCCCCGTGTTGTTTTGATACACCTTTCCAACTGTCAGAGAAGCACAGCAGTGTGTTCCGTGTTTCCGGCGCTTTTTTTCTTTTTCTTGCTTTTTTCTTCTTCTTCCTTCAGTCCCCACAGAAGGAAGCACGACTTCCAGCAGTGTTCGTTCAGCCAGATATGTGGGGGCTGATAGGAAGCTGGCACGCCACTTCACTCATGCCAGACTGAGCAATGAATGTCACAGTAGGCTCTAATGCCAGCTTGGAGATGCCACCAGAGATTCCTCCCCAGGACATCTGGAGTCCCAGGTGCCCGTCGTTTGCAGATCCAGGTCTCGGCTTCAGGAAGCCAAGAGTCCTAAAGAATGCCAAAATGCTGGCAGCACCGGCCAAGCCCTCCAAAGCTTATCAGCTCCACCACAGCCTTTTATGGGCCTATTCACCTCAATCAAAGCTGTTATTAAGGTAAACGGGCCAAGATGGCGGATATCGCCGCGCTCCAATTACCCGCCACGTCTCCTCCATCTTCCCCCTGCCAGCTTCCCAACAAGCTCCGATTCTCCTCTCCGCGCCCAGCTGCTCTGGCTTCGTTCCACTTCCTCTGTATCAGCACACAGGGAGACCTTTCACAACAGAGGGGTTCTGTCAGCGCTAGATTCACT